GTCTCTTGTCTCGTCTCTCTCTTGTCTCGTCTCTGTCTCGTTTGTCTCTCTCTGTCTCTCTCTGTCTCTGTCTCGTTGTCTCTCTGTCTCGTTGTCTCTCTCTGTCTCTTGTCTCTCTCTGTCTCTCGTGTCTCTCTGTCTCTTTGTCTCTCTGTCTCGTTGTGTCTCTGTCTCGTTGTGTCTCTGTCTCGTTGTCTCTCTGTCTCTTTGTCTCTCTGTCTCTCGTTGTCTCTCTGTCTCGTTGTCTCTCTGTCTCGTTGTCTCTCTGTCTCGTGTCTCTGTCTCGTTGTCTCTGTCTCGTTGTCTCTCTGTCTCGTTGTCTCTCTGTCTCGTTGTGTCTCTGTCTCGTTGTGTCTCTGTCTCGTTGTCTCTTTGTCTCTCTGTCTCTTTGTCTCTCTGTCTCGTTGTTGTCTCTTGTCTCTCGTTGTCTCTCTGTCTCGTTGTCTCTCTGTCTCGTCTGTCTCTTTGTCTCTTGTGTCTCTGTCTCTCTGTCTCGTTTGTCTCTCTGTCTCGTTGTCTCTGTCTCTTGTGTCTCTCTGTCTCGTCTGTCTCTCTGTCTCTCGTCTCTTGTCTGTCTCTGTCTGTTGTCTCGTGTCTCTTTGTCTCGTTGTCTCTCTGTCTCGTTGTCTCTCTGTTTCTCGTTGTCTCTCTGTCTTGTTGTGTCTCTGTCTCGTTGTGTCTCTGTCTCTTTGTGTCTCTGTCTCGTTGTCTCTGTCTCGTTGTCTCTCTGTCTCGTCTCTTTTTCGTGATGGTTGGAGATAATGGCTCAATGTCTCGTTGTCTCTTTGTCTCATTGTCTCTCTTCTTCTCATTGTGGTTGTCGTTAATGGCTCGTTGTCTCTCTTCATCTCTGTCTTGTCTCTCTGTGTCTCGTTGTCGTTGTGTTTGTCGTTAATGTCTCGTTGTCTCATTGTCTCTCGTCTTGTCTCTCTGTCTCTTCTCCTCGTTGTCGTTCTCTCTCTGTCTCGTTGTCGCCGTGTTTGTGGTTAATGTCTCGTTGTCTCTTTGTTTCGTTTTCTCTCGTCTTGTCTCTCTGTCTCTTCTCCTCGTTGTGGTTAATGTCTCGTTGTCTCTCTTTGTCTCTGTCTCTCTTCGTGTCGTCGTTGTGTCTCGTTGTGGTCGTGGTTAATGTCTTGTTGTCTCTGTGTCTCTCTTCATGTCTGTGTCTCTCTGTCTCTGTGTCTCTCTTCATGTCTGTGTCTCTCTGTCTCTGTGTCTCTCTTCGTCTCTGTGTCTCTCTTCATGTCTGTGTCTCTCTGTCTCTCTGTCTCTCTTCGTCTCTGTGTCTCTCTTCATGTCTGTGTCTCTCTGTCTCTGTGTCTCTCTTCGTCTCTGTGTCTCTCTTCATGTCTGTGTCTCTGTGTCTCTCTGTCTCTCTTCGTCTCTGTGTCTCTCTTCGTCTCTGTGTCTCTCTTCATGTCTGTGTCTCGCGGATGTGGTTAATGTCTTGTTGTCTCTGTGTCTCTCTTCATGTCTGTGTCTCTCTGTCTCTGTGTCTCTCTTCGTCTCTGTGTCTCTCTTCATGTCTGTGTCTCTCTGTCTCTGTGTCTCTCTTCGTCTCGCGGATGTGGTTAATGTCTCATCTCTTCACCTCGTTGTCGTTCTCTCTCTGTCTCTGTGTCTTGTTGTCGTTGTGGTTGTCATTAATGGCTCGTTGTCTCGTTGTCTCATTGTCTCTCGTCTTGTCTCTCTGTCTCTTCTCCTCGTTGTGGTCGTCGTTAATGGCTCATTGTCTCATTGTCTCTGTGTTTCGTTGTGGTTGTGGTTAGTGTCTCGTTGAGGAGAAAAATTCAGTTTGTCGACTGGAGAAAAGTTAGTTTGGTTGAAGATGTTCCTCAGTTCATCCAGGCTGCTTCTTCAGTTCTGTCAGACGCTGGTGACACTTCCTTATATCTGCAGGAGGAGCTAACTACACTGAAACTCCTCTGAAACTAACACACACACTTGTTTACAGTTTGTGTTTGTTAGTTGGGTCTGTTGACCTGTACAGGGTGTGGGTCTAATTATCAGAATAATTCATGGTCATAATGGAGCTTCCACATCTCTGGTCCTGACCTGACTCCACCTGTTGTTGTTTGTTTTGATTCAGGTTTGAGGATGGACGTGTAAACAGGAGACAGATGGTGTCTCGTTGTTCTCTTTGTCTCTCTTCGTGTCTGTGTTTCGTTGTGTTTGGTTGTGGTTGGAGATAATGACTCGTCGTCTCTGTCGCTCTTCGTCTCATGATTGTCATTAGTGGTTCGTTGTCGTCTGGGACACTCGTCATTACAGTTTAATCTGCTCCGATCGACCCGGACACACAGACCCGAGTCGTACCCACAGTGCAGCGGGGCAGAGAGCGCCCCCGTCAGCGAGTTTCAGTCCCTGCGGCTCCACCACAACGATTTTTAAAACGCAAAAGAAATGAAACTAAAGAGTTTAAAGAGCTTAAAGAGCTTAAAGAGTCTAAAGAGCTGTCACACGCACTTTACATCACGGACGAGAGACTGAACTGGGACTGAACCGGGACTAAACCAGAACTAAACCAGGACTGAACCAAGACTAAACCAGGACTAAACCAGGACTGAACCAAGACTAAACCAAGACTAAACCAGGACTGAACCAAGACTAAACCAGGACTAAACCAGGACTAAACCAGGACTAAACCAAGACTAAACCAGGACTACACCAGGACTAAATCAGGACTGAACCAAGACTAAACCAGGACTAAACCAGAACTAAACCAGGACTAAACCAGGACTGAACCAAGACTAAACCAGGACTAAACCAGAACTAAACCAGGACTAAACCAAGACTAAACCAGGACTACACCAGGACTAAACAGGACTGAAACCAGACTAAACCAGGACTAAACCAGAACTAAACCAGGACTAAACCAGGACTAAACCAGGACTAAACCAGAACTAAACCAGGACTGAACCAAGACTAAACCAGAACTAAACCAGGACTGAACCAAGACTAAACCAGGATTGAACCAGGACTAAACCAGGGCTAAACCAGAACTAAACCAGGACTAAACCAGAACTAAACCAGGACTAAACCAAGACTAAACCAGGACTACACCAGGACTAAATCAGGACTGAACCAAGACTAAACCAGGACTAAACCAGAACTAAACCAGGACTACACCAGGACTAAACCAGAACTAAACCAGAACTAAACCAGGACTGAACCAAGACTAAACCAGAACTAAACCAGGACTGAACCAAGACTAAACCAGAACTAAACCAGGACTGAACCAAGACTAAACCAGGACTAAACCAGAACTAAACCAGAACTAAACCAGGACTGAACCAAGACTAAACCAGGACTAAACCAGAACTAAACCAGGACTACACCAGGACTAAACCAGAACTAAACCAGAACTAAACCAGAACTAAGCCAGAACTAAACCAGGACTGAACCAAGACTAAACCAGAACTAAACCAGGACTGAACCAAGACTAAACCAGGACTAAACCAGAACTAAACCAGAACTAAACCAGAACTAAACCAGGACTGAACCAGGACTAAACCAGGACTAAACCAGGACTAAACCAGAACTAAACCAGGACTGAACCAAGACTAAACCAGGACTAAACCAGAACTAAACCAGAACTAAACCAGAACTAAACCAGGACTGAACCAGGACTAAACCAGAACTAAACCAGGACTACACCAGGACTAAACCAGAACTAAACCAGAACTAAACCAGAACTAACCAGAACTAAACCAGAACTGAAACCAAGACTAAACCAGAACTAAACCAGGACTGAACCAAGACTAAACCAGGACTAAACCAGAACTAAACCAGAACTAAACCAGAACTAAACCAGGACTGAACCAGGACTAAACCAGAACTAAACCAGACTAAACCAGAACTAAACCAGGACTGAACCAGGACTAAACCAGGACTAAACCAGAACTAAACCAGAACTAAACCAGGACTGAACCAGGACTAACCACACTTCTGCTGCTTCTGTCACTGAAACTGCATCAAAATATTTTTTCACTCATTATAAAAAAGACAAAATCTTTTTGTTTTAGAGAAAAACAAAATTAAAATACACATTTATATTTTGTCAATATTAAAAAACCCAAACCATTTTAAAAGGTTGAAAAAAGCATTAAAAAAAAAACAAAAAAAAAACGTTCAGTGTAATCTTGTAAACAGTGAGTGTCCCGAGTCCCGACCTGAGTCCCGACCCGAGTCCCGACATGAGTCCCGACCCGAGTCCCGACCTGAGTCCTGACCCGAGTCCTGACCGGAGTCCTGACCCGAGTCCCGACTCGAGTCCCGACCTGATCCTGGTGGAGTCAGAGAAACGTTGAGTGTAAATAAAAGAGAAGCTGGAGAGTCTGAGATCGATTCGAGCAAAGAGACGTTCACGTTTCCCGACGGCTCCTCTGATCCTCCACACACCCGACCAGAGACTGGGTTCAAGTCCAGGTCCCGGTCTGGACTCGGGCCCGGACTCACTGGAGCGCGGCCTAAAGGACTTCACAGGGTTTAGTCCGGTTGTAATCCTGGTTTAGTCCAGACTGATCACGTCTCAGTGCAGCGTTTTTTTACAGGTCACAGAAAAGGTCTGAGCTCATCCAAGATCTGAAGAACCACTTAAAACTGGACCAGGACTAGACCAGGACTAGACCAGGGCTAGACCAAGACTGGACTGAGACTAGACCAGGACTAAACCAGGACTAAACCAGGAGTAAACCAAGACCGAACCATGACTAGACCAGGAATAGACCAGGACTGAAACAGTACTAGACCAAGACTAAACCAGGGCTAAACCAGGATTAGACCAAGACTGACCCGGGACTTAACCAGGACTAGACCAGGACTGAACCAGGACTGACCCAGGTCTAAACAAGGACTAAACCAGGAATGAACCAGGACTAAACCAGGACTGAAGCAGGGTCTTTGTTTTTCGTCTCTGGTTTCTGACCCTGGTTCTGGTTCTGGTTTCTGACCCTGGTTCTGGTTCTGGTTTCTGACCCTGGTTCTGGTTCTGGTTCCAGGTGTGAGCGCTGTGACCGGAGCTTCACTCAGGCCACTCAGCTGAGTCGTCACCAGCGCCTCCCCAACGAGTGCAAACCTCTGAACGACTCCGAGTCCATCGAGGTCGACTGAGAAACCGCCGCCGACCAATCAGGAGCCAGCGTCCCACCGCCGACCAATCAGGAGCCAGCGTCCCACCACCGACCAATCAGGAGCCAGCGTCCCACCTCTGAGAAACCTCCGACCAATCAGGAGCCAGCGTCAGAGTTTTGTCGTTTCTGTTCCGGTTCTTTCTCTCGTCTCAGAGCTTCAGAGAGACCAGTGCTTCCAGTTAGCGTCACCCCCCAGAGACTGTGGATGACATCATCACCAGGCCCCGCCCCCATCTGAGATTATGACATCATCAAATCAAACCTGACCGCTCCACGCCGCCCCCTCCTGACCAGGGACGCAACGATACGGTTTTCCCACGAGCCGATACGTGTCTCGATACACGATTCACGATATCGACTCGATTTTGATTCGTTTTAAGACGCAAAAAAAAAAAAAAAAAAAAATCTTTAAATTTTTTCTGCTGATGAATAAAATTTAATCACACTGATATTAACGGCAAAAAGAGAAACGTAAAACGTGTTCGACCAAAATAAACAAAAACGAGCCTCACTCTGGTCTGACTGAAGCGGGAGCAGATCTTCACGCTCTTTTCTGGTGGAGGTTCTGCTGCTCGTTTCCGTGGAGACGTCTGGTGACTGCCGCTCCACCAAAGTTCCACAGTGCAGCTTTAATGGTGTGATTTTAAAACTGGAGATGTGGAACTGTTTCACCCTCACAGCCTCAAACCTGCTCAGGCTGAAGATCTCGTTCAGCAGAACCAAAGAGAGCTCCTCCTCCTCCAAATGCTCCTCCAGCTCCACCTGCTCCTCGTCCACCTTCTCCTGCTCCTCCACCTGCTCCTCGTCCACCTTCTCCTGCTCCTCCACCTGCTCCTCGTCCACCTTCTCCTGCTCCTCCACCTGCTCCTCGTCCACCTTCTCCTGCTCCTCCACCTTCTCCTGCTCCAGCTTCTCCTGCTTCACCTCCAGCTCCTCCTCTTCTTCCTCCTGCGTCGGTGCTTTTGTACAAAGAGAGACACTTTTAAACTTTAGTCCAAAGAACCTCTGACCCCAAACAAACCCTCTCGTAGCTTTACCAGGTCCGAGTCGGGTCCGAGTCGGGTCTGGAGAAACTGACGAAGCCAAAGTTTGTTCGACCAAAGTTTGAACTGAAACCAAAATGTAGAAAAATAAAAACGTCTATTTATGCGGCTCATATCCTGCTCTGCACTTTTACTTTGAAAGGACTTTGAAAAGCTTCACTCTTATTTTGAAGGAGTTCGGTTCTGTTCTGTTCTGGTGCATGATTTAAACCAAGACAATTTTCTGTTGTTTTTAACTTTAACAGATCTGAAACAGGAGGCAACACACACACACACACACACACACACACATACACACACATACACACACACATACACACACACACACACAAACAACACACACACACACACACATACATACAACACACACACACACACACACACACACACATACACACACACACACATACAACACACGTACACACACATACAACACATACAACACACATACACACACACACACACACATACAACACACATACAACACACATACACACACACATACAACACACATACAACACACACATACACACACACATACACACACATACACACACACACATACACACAACACACACACACATACACACACACACACAAAACACACACACACACACATACACACACACACACACAACACACACATACACACACATACAACACACACACATACACACAACACACACATACACACACACATACACACACACACACACACACACACACACACACACACAAACACACACAAACACATGCACATACACACACACACACACACACAAATACACACACACACATACAACACACACATACACACACACACATACACACAAACACACACAAACACATGCACATACACACACACACACACACACACACACACATACACACACACACACACACACACACATACACACACACACACACACACACACACACACATACACAACACACACACACACACACACACACACACAACACACACACAACATACACAAACACATGCACATACACACACACACACACACACAAATACACACACACACATACAACACACACATACACACACACACAACACACACACACATACAACACACACACATACAACACACACATACGCACACGCGTGGGCACACATCTTGGGGAGGGCATCTGGTTTAAATTCCTAAATTTCACGTGCGGAAATCAAGTTTTATTCTGAAGTCTGGGTCCATGTGACAGTTTTGGGCCTGGGGCAGAATAACCGAAGTGTGGCTGCCGTTTGGGCACAGGGCCTGAAGTGGCTGCACGATATAGGGATCTGTTTTTCCCCGTGTCTCTCGTCAGTTCAGATCTGAGGCGTGAGCGGCTCTGGAGGTCAGAATAAATCCTCTGTGTTCTGTCTGCGTCCGATTATAAAGAGTTTTACTGACTAGGAATCAGGAAGTGCACTGTTAGCATGCTAGTTGCATAAGTCCTGGTCTGTGAGAGGCGTGAAAAGTTCTTATAAAGTCATGATGGTGAATAATGAAGCTGCGTTCAAGCGCGCGGGCGTCAGGGCGTCGGGTTTACGCACAGAGTCCATGTGGACGCGCTTCTACGGCGTCCGGCGCCGTTACTGTGTCGTTCTGACGCTGGACCTGGACACACATCCTGGTGTCCAACGAACAGAAGTTGAAAAAAATGAACTTCTGGTGTTTGATTATCCAGTGACATTATTACCTGGAATAAGAAGAAAGAGAAAGACCCGAGAAACACAAACACCAGAACAAAAACTCTACACGTGTCATTATCGGAGGATAAATATAAACACACCGTCGAGCTCCTCCGCTGATGTGTTTATGTCATAAAAACACTAAAGTCTCTCTCCACCGGGAAAACAAGACACTGTCAGACCACAGCGACGCCCGGGACACATGTCAACTATTTTTCTCCCGTTAGCCCACGGCGTAGAAACGCTGGGTCGAAAGCATCTGAACTCAAATACAAAGGCTCTAACTCGAGGCGTCCAGCTCGTTTTTTGACGCGGCGGTTTGAACGCAGCTTTAAGACGCTCTGAACACAGACGGAAGAACTTTAGAGAACTGCAAACTGTTTCAAATGAACTAGATCTGATTTTGATGTTTTTACACACGGAAAAAATCAGGTACAGAGAGTTTAAGCTTTAATTTAAAAAAATAAATATATATATCTGAAATGATTGTGTCAAAAAACAGGCTGTTTAATATTTTCCCTTATTGTGCAGCGCTCGTTTGAACCCACGACTCTGCAGATGGTCTGAGGCTTAACCCACTGTGACACAAACACACACACAAACACACACACACACACACACAGAGAAAGCACAAATGAAACAAAACTCAAACGCCTCTAGATGTTCAGATATTTCGTTGTTTTTCTGTTTTTCTCAACTGTTCGAGTCTCGTGCCTCCTGTTCCAGACTCGTCCTCACGAACGTCCAAAGATCCACCGTTTTCTGCCAAAGTTAAAATGTAAAAGTGTAAAATTGTAAATAGGATGAACAAAAGCACAGTCCGGTGTTTGTGCCTGAGTTTCAAAAGCTTTACGGTTCTGTTTGTGTCCAAGAAAACTACAAAACCAAAAACTACAAAACCAAAAATGAACTTTACCAAAAATAAAACGTTACCAAAAACTGACGGATGTTTCGCCTGGAGGAATGGACCCGTCTGACTTTTTTTTGAGTCACTGTAGAAAATAATGTTTTTTATAAAAAGTGAAACATCTTTTGTCTTGATGCAAATGCAGAAAATGAACCAGGAACTAAACACGCTCACTTCCTGTTTACTTGTAATGTTTCCTGTTTATTTCTTCATTCATGTGAATTTTCTCTTGGAATATCTGAAGATCCGACTCAGAAAAACGAGCTCAGAGTTAAACCCAAACCTCGTGTTGAAGTGTTGGACTCTGAGCTGATAAAACTAAAATAAAAGTGACGTTGTGTTCTAAAGCTGCAGAGTCCAGACTCCGGGAGGTCGGACATTTCCCAGTTGAACGTCACGAGCTCAGAGAGTTTCTCCTGAATCCACTCGGGTTTAGAACGACCGGATTTTCACAATGTGGAGGTTGGTGAGAATAAAACTGTGTAATTAAGGAGAATTATTCAGCACTTGGCTCAATCATGTAGATCAGGAGTCAGTAGAGTCACATTTTCTTTGTGTTCTGTCGTTTTTAAGCAGATTTTCTGTATTTTACTGATTGTCAGGATCAGATTGGAGACACCTGGGACATTTCTTTTACAAAACTGTCCCGGGTAAATAAGGACGGAGTGTGCAAAAATATCAAAATATCGATATATTCCATTCCATTTTCTTCTGCTTATCCGGGGCCGAGTCGCGGAGGCAGCAGTCTGAGCAGGGACTCCCAGACTTTCCTTTCCACGCACACGTCCTCCAGCTCTTCTGGGGGGACCCCGAGGTGTTCCCAGGCCAGCGGAGAAACATAGTCCCTCCAGTGTGTCCTGGGTCTTCCCCGGGGCCTCCTCCTGGTGGGACATGAACACCTCCCGAGGGAGACGTCCTGGAGGCATCCGGAACAGATGCCCGAGCCTCAACTGGCTCCTCTCGACGTGGAGGAGCAGCGGCTCTACTCTGAGCTCCTCCCGTGTGACTGAGCTCCTCACTCTGTCTCTAAGGGAGACGCCCAGCCACCCTGCGGAGGAAACTCATTTCGGCCGCTTGTATCCGCGATCTCATCCTTTCGGTCACTACCCAGAGCTCATGACCAGAGGTGAGGGTGGGAACGAAGACTGACCGGTAAATCGATGTATCGTGTCGTTTAATGTGATGATACAGGTTATGGTTAGGTTTGGTTCGGTCGCTTTATTCGTACCCGTAGGTAAATTTGTTTTGCAGATTTGAGCGGCAGGTTCCACATTTCACATTTCATCATCCACAAAACACACAGAAAATCACAATTACAAAGTAAAGTGTCCAGACGGTTTGTTCCATAAACGACCAGTTAAATTCATCCATCAGGCTCGGCTAAAATCACAATAAATATTAAATATGTTCAAAACAAACAAACTTAGATAAACAGATCACAGTTTATTCATCAGTTCGACAGCGGCTGGAACGAAGCTCCTTTTAAAATGATTCGTTCTAGATGTTGGGACTAAAAGTCTCAGACCAGAGAGAAGCAGCTGAAACTCTGAGTTTAGTATCGATATCATGTTCTGTTGTATCGATATTTCACCAAGAGGATTTTTTTGGTTTATTTAAGTAATTGATTTAGTTCCAGCTCAGGTTTTGTTGTATGTTCAGAGGAAGGAAACTCGTTTATGTGACACATTTGACATTTTCACTGTTTTGACGATTTAAATGTTTGTGTTTCATTTAAACTTTACACAAGAAGAAGTTTAACAAAACTTTTAGTGTCACTTCTGTGATTTAGATCAAATTGAATCTAAATACACGGTACTGATTCATATGGAATCATAAGTTCACTGTATCGAGGTTTGTTTTGTATCAGCGACTTGTGAATGATTCAACTCGACTGTTGTCAACAACACAGCTAATGCTAACGCTAACGCTAATGCTAAACCACAGGCTAAACAAACGTGAAGGTTAAACACACGTCTGTAACTTATTAAACGACAGAACATCGTCCGATTTTTCACATTTAGAGACTTTACTGATCCTGAGGGTTCGTGCGCCGTTAGCCGCTCTGATTAGCATTAGCGTTAGCATTAGCGTAACACGTCACAGTTTAAACGTGTCTGAAGAATCGTCCGATCATCAAACACGTCACGAACGAGTCGCTCTGAAGAGACGTTTTATAAAACAACCTAAATCCAACGTGAAACAGGAAATGAACAGGAAGTAAACAGGAAGTAAACAGGAAGTGAACAGGAAGTGCTGCGTGCGCTCCTGAGGATAATCATGTGTCTGACTCCATTTTGTTGAACTTGTTGCATGAAACTGTTTTTTTTTTTTTTTTTTTTTATCAAATTAAACCAAAAAGTCTGTTCCAAAGGAAATAAAGCTCAAGTTCACTTTTACTACGACTCCTGATTGGTCACAAGTGTGTGTGATGTCATCAGGTGTGTGTGTGTGTGTGTGTGTGACATCATCAGGTGTGTGATGTCATCAGGTGAACGGACTGCACCACCTGATGACATCACGGGGTGTAACAGAGTGTGAATGTGCAGGAAACATGAATGAACCGAACCCGACTCCAGGTGGTTTCCAGGACGACGCTGCAGTAGAACAGAGTTAAAGCTTCACTGTGGGACATTTCCTCACTCTGCTCCTCTTCTTCTTCTTGTGTGAGGCTGAAGCTGCAGGGACAGAGCGCCTCTGCTGGACACGAGAACACAACAGGACACTCACAGGTCAGAGGTCACAGGGGTCAGAGGTCACACGGGGTCAGAGGTCACACGGGGTCACAGGGGTCAGAGGGTCACAGGGGTCAGAGGTCGGGGCTCTGAAACAGACGAGACTCTGGAGAGAAATAAAAGTTTCACCACATTTTATAAAACAGGAAACAGTGAAACTTCTGATGGAGAGAAACACTCCTCCCTCTCTCCTCCATCACCTCCTTCTCTCTCTCCTCTTCCCTCCTTTCCTTCTCTCTCTCTAACAGGGTTTTCTCTCTCTCTCTCTCTCGGTCTTTCACTCTTATGACTCTGACTCTCTCACTCCCTCCTCTTTCTCTCTTTTTGTCTCTCTTTCTCTCAGTGTGACGAGACTCTTTCTTTCTCTTTCTCCTCTTTTCTCAGCCTCTCTCTTTCGCTCAGTGTAATGGAGTTCTCCTCCCTCTTTCCTCCTCTCAGTCTAATGGGGCGCTCCCTCTTTCTTCCTCCCTCTCTCCTCTTCCCTTTCCTCCTCTCCTCCTCCTCTGTCTAACGTGGTTCTCTCCTCTTCTCCTCTTTCCTCTCTCCTCTTCCTCCCTCCTCTCTTCCTCCCTCCCTCTCTCCTCCCTCTTCCTCCCTCTCTCCCCTCTTCCTCCCTCCCTCTCTCTCCCCTCTCCCTCTCTCCCTCTCTCTCTCTCCCTCTCTCTCTCTTCTCGTCTTTCCTCCTCTCTCTCCTCTTCTTCTCTCTCTCTTCTCTCTTTCTCTCCGTCTAATGGGTTTAAAGTGGACGTAACGATTGAGTCCAGAGGAATTTCCTGTCGACACAAAAACTCGAGGCTCAAAAAGTGAAAAAAAAAAAAAAAAAAAAAAAAAAGCGAAAGAAAAACAGAGAAAAACCGTCGGGTCTGAAATGAAAACCAGGTGCGGCCGAAGTGGGAACGAACCGCAGACGAACTCTCACGACTCGGGGCCGTGGGAATTATGCAAATCTACAAATATTTCACTCCGCCGCTCCGTTCACATCTGGAACTGCGGCGGCGGCGGCTCCGGGTCAGGTCTGCGGAGAGGCGAGCCCGCACGCGCACTCACCACCACGGGTTCTTCTGACCCTGAAAAACCAAATGTGACTGAGTAAATGTGAAACTGGAGCCGTTTAAAGTCGCACCGTGGAACATTCTAGACAGAGCAGCGACGTAACCACGGTGACAAACGGGTGACTGACGCTGCAGAAAAGTGACACAGTGCAGCTTTAAAGGGCCCGTCTCGTTTTCAGATGTTCCTCTTTTCTCAGACTGAGGAGTGGGACTTGGATTTGACGCCCAAGTGGTTTTTAGATTGAGTCTGTGTTTTTTTTTTAACAAATGGTCCAGTCCTGGTTCAGATCTAGTTTAGTCCTGGTTTAGTCCTGGTTTAGTTCTGGTTCAGTCCTGGTTTAGTCCTGGTCTAGTCCTGGTTCAGTCCTCGGTTCAGATCTAGTTTAGTCCTGGTTTAGTTCTGGTTCAGTTCTGGTTCAGTCCTGGTTCAGTCCTGGTTCAGTCCTCGGTTCAGTCCTGGTCTAGTCCTGGTTTAGTCCTGTTTTAGTCCTGGTTTAGTTCTGGTTTAGTTCTGGTTTAGTTCTGGTTCAGTCCTGGTCTAGTCCTGGTTCAGTCCTCGGTTCAGTCCTGGTCTAGTCCTGGTTTAGTCCTGTTTTAGTCCTGGTTTAGTCCTGGTTTAGTCCTGGTTTAGTCCTGGTTTAGTCCTGGTTTAGTTCTGGTTTAGTTCTGGTTCAGTCCTGGTCTAGTCCTGGTTTAGTCCTGGTTTAGTCCTGGTCCAGTCCTGGTCTAGTCCTGGTTCAGTCCTCAGTTTAGTCCTCAGTTTAGTCCTCGGTTCAGTCCTGGTTCAGTCCTGGTTCAGTCCTGGTTCAGTCCTGGTTCAGTCCTGGTTTAGTCCTGGTTTAGTCCTCGGTTCAGTCCTGGTTCAGTCCTGGTTCAGTCCTGGTTTAGTCCTGGTTCAGTCCTGTCAGTCCTGGTCTAGTCCTGGTTCAGTCCTCGGTTCAGTCCTGGTTCAGTCCTGGTTTAGTCCTGGTCTAGTCCTGGTTTAGTCCTGTTTTAGTCCTGGTTTAGTCCTGGTTTAGTTCTGGTTTAGTTCTGGTTCAGTCCTGGTCTAGTCCTGGTTCAGTCCTCGGTTCAGTCCTGGTCTAGTCCTGGTTCAGTCCTGGTTCAGTCCTGGTTTAGTCCTGGTTCAGTCCTCGGTTCAGTCCTGGTCTAGTCCTGGTTCAGTCCTGGTCCAGTCCTGGTTCAGTCCTCGGTTCAGTCCTGGTTCAGTCCTGGTCTAGTCCTGGTTCAGTCCTGGTTTAGTCCTCGGTTCAGTCCTGGTTCAGTCCTGGTTCAGTCCTGGTTCGGTGTAAAAGTTCATCATCTTCTCAGTTCTTTTGTTGAAAGTAAATTAACGTTCTGTAATATTCGTGTCATATTTTATATTTTAAACACTTCAGGTGTGAAATATTAAACTTATTGAAGTTGAATTATTCTGATCAAACGTCTCTGGACAGAAGTGAGTTTGTGCAGTTTGGTCTTAAAGCCGCCGTGTTTGTTCTGAAAGTTCTTTTGTTTGTGTTTCCAGACAATTAAAACACAACTATTTGATTTGATGTTTTTAAAGTCGGAGCAGCTCTGCAGTATTTTCTTTTTTTTTTTTTCCATGGGAGAGTCCGAGGAGCAGTGGCAGAGTGGTTAGCCCGTCGCAGTCACGCGCAGGAGAAACTGAAAAAGGATCCCGATGTTTTTGTGGAAAAATCAGACGATAAAACCATACGAGTCTGTTTCAAATTTACTTAAAAAAAATCTGTGAAATTCATAAATAACAAAATAAAACATTTACAGTTTCTACAAAAGTGTCACAAACAAATTTCAGGTGAAACTCACGGAGCAGAATCTGGAGCGTCCTGATCAACCGAAGTGTCTTTAAAATGAAACTCACATTATTTACTCTTCCTGTTCGGTTTTTGGCATTTTTAGGCTAAGTTAAGTACTACATGACATCACACAGCACTGCCCTGATCACAGACAGGTGCTTCTGACACAAACACCTGTCGGCAGGGGCAGAGTTTGAAGTGTGGACACCTGTTAGACCAATCAGAGTGTTCCGTACAAGTCCAGGCCCCGCCCCCCTCCTCCAGACCCCGCCCCCCCCCCCTCCAGGCCCCGCCCCCCCCCCCCCTCCAGGCCCCGCCCAGTTCAGTTTAGGTGTTTAGTTGCACTTTAATATTAATATTTAAATCCATCTGTTTGTCCCTCTCCTCTGATTGGTCGTTTGTCCCTCTCCTCTGATTGGTCGTTTGTCCCTCTCCTCTGATTGGTCGTTTGTCCCTCTCCTCTTCTCTGATTGGTCAGCGTCCCGTCATCACGTCCTGTATCTGTCTGTTGAGTTCGGAGATGATTCGGTCGTCGTGGGTGTAAACTCCGGTCCTCAGCAGCGTGTCTCTCTCCTCCAGGAGTCGGCTCAGGTGATCGCCCAGGTGCCCGTCGTCGAGAGGCCCCGCCCCTGCCGACGGCGAGGGGGCGGGGCCTGATAAGGAAGGGGCGGGGCCTGAGAGCGAGGGGGCGGGAGCTAGTCGTTCATCCTTCAACCTGGAAAACACAAAAACAAGACGATTTAAGGAGCCGTACCTGATTTGAAAGTGTCATGGCAACAACAACAAACATGACCACAATAAAAGTGAAAAACTGCATCTTCACTTTCAGATGTTCCTGCACTTGCACTGCTACAGATTTAAAGATTGTACAGAGGATTTTTTTAAGGAAAGAGAAATACAGCGACAGTCTTTTTTCAAATGCTGTGCATGCGTGACACCACCTTCCTCCTCCACAGCTCCTCTAGAGCACAGGTGTCAAACATGCGGCCCAGGGGCCAGATCCGGTCCTCCAAGACCTTTAATCTGGCCCTCGGCTGATTTTCTACTAAAATATTTTAATTCTATTTTTTATTAAAATCTTGTTAATTTTCTGTGGTGTTTATCACAGCAGCGTCTCCAGCGTCTCTGTACGTGGCCCCTCCCACCAGAGCAGCACAAATGAAGACTTGTCTCTTTCCAAACGCTCTTAAAGGACGATCGTTTTGACTGTTGACCGTGACACCCTCATCAGAAAAATGTCCAACATGAGAAAAGTGGAGCCGAGTGCAGGATTTTAAAACAAAAATTGACTTCCTATTCCTATTCCTACAAGTTAATTTTAAACAAGTTCATGTTAAAACTTGGTGTTGAAATTGTATTTTTCTTAAAGTTCCAGGTTGTTCATAATATTATAATATTTTGTAAAAGAAAGAGTTCATCAATTAAAAAAGATTTCTGTAATAGATTTGTGTTTCTCTGCACAAATATTTGAACTTATTGTTATTTTTGGGGTTTATATGACATGAGTTTTCTGATCCGGACACTTTGGGATCAAAGTCGGTTGGACACGACCCCCGGAACAAAATGAGTTTGACTCTCCTGATGTAGAAGTAATTTAGAGACTGACACGTCAGTTTTTAGACCCTTCGTCTGCTTCAGTCGCGCCGTCGCTGGAAGGAATCTCCAAGATTCACCTCAGTTTGTCTTCGCTCCTTTTCCCCTTCACTTCTGCTTCCGGCGACCTCAAAAACCGACTTTCTTTTGCGGCAAACTGGTCGTGGATTCTCGTCCGACATCGCGACAAACTTTGTGCGAACTGCGAGGAAGTGACAGTTCGAAAAAGCCTCTAAGAACTGCTGCGTAGTTACACTAGAAACGTAGGGAGTTTGACTGACGACCTAACAGCCAATAGATAAAGAGGGTATTATTTTTTTGGTCATCATAATTACAAGTCTGCTGCGTCTCTGTAACGGTATTTTAAACTTTCAATGACAATTTGAAACAAAAAAAAAATCCTCCATACGACCTTTAACTTGAACAAACACTAGCATGCCAACAGTGCACCAGCGCACTTCCAGGTTCACAGCCGATAAAGGCTTTATAATCACATGTTCATCTGGTTCTGGCTTTCTCCTCCCTCTCTTTTTCTCCTCCATCTCTATTCCCTCGTTCCTCTCTCTCCTCTCTTCCCTTTTCCTCCTGTCCTCCTCCCTCCCTCGTTCTCAGTTCATCTCGTTTTTGACCTGTAACCTTTCTCCAGTTTTTCCTCTCCTCCTCCTCTCATTCTTCTCCTCCTCCTCACTCTCTCGTTCTCTCCTGTTCATTTGGTTCTTATTCTCCATCTTCTGCTGTTCCTGACCTGTGATCTTTCTTCTCCTCCTTCCCTTCCTCCTTCTCCTCTTCTTTCCTCTCTTGTTCTCGCCTGTTGATCTGGTTTTTGATCTCCTCCTTCTTCTCACGCTCCTCCGTCCCTTCACTCATCTCCTTCATCCCTCGCTCCCTCGTTCTCACCTGTTGATGATGATGTTCTTGATCTCCTCCAGCTCGTCTCGTTCTCACCTGTTGATGATGTTCTTGATCTCCTCCAGCTCGTCTCGTTCTCACCTGTTGATGATGATTGTTCTTGATCTCCTCCAGCTCGTCTCGTTCTCACCTGTTGATGATCTGATGTTCTTGATCTCCTCCAGCTCGTCTCGTTCTCACCTGTTGATCTGGTTCTTGATCTCCTCCAGCTCGTCTCCTTCTCACCTGTTGATCTGGTTCTTGATCTCCTCCAGCTCGTCTCGTTCTTGACCCGTGACCTTTCGTTCCTCGGCGCTCAGATACTTGAGCCTCATGACCTCGAGCTCCTGCTGCTGCTTCTTCAGACGACACAGAGCGTTCTCCTGCTCGCGCTGGAACAGACACACAAACACGATAAAAAATGAAATCAACAATCGTGTGTGGACGGTTCTGTTCTGTGACGTTTTAAATCTCAATATTGATCTAAATTCACGTCATAAAGAAACACGACTCCAGAAGGTCAGAGAGAAGAAACGACTAGAACATGGAGAAACATCTGAGGAGAACAGTTTGAGGAACAGCTCAGAGTTAATAAAATAAAGTCAAGAAACATGTAAAAAAAAATCCACACACAGGTTTTGTTTCGCTCGTTTGTTTCTCTGCTGTGGTCGGTTGGTTCTGCGTCTGTGACTAAACCAGAACTAAACCAGGACTGAACCAGGACTAAACCAGAACTAAACCAGGACTGAACCAGGACTAAACCAGAACTAAACCAGGACTAAACCAAGTCTAAGCTAAGTCTAAACCAGAACTAAACCAGGACTAAACCAAGTCTAAGCTAAGTCTAAACCAGGACTAAACCAGGACTAAACCAGGACTAAACCAGAACTAAACCAGGACTAAACCAAGTCTAAACTAAGTCTAAACCAGGACTAAACCAGAGCTAAACCAGGTCTAAACCAAGTCTAAACCAGGACTAAACCAGGTCTAAACCAGGTCTAAACCAGGTCTAAACCAGTCTAAACCAAGTCTAAACCAAGTCAAAACCAGGTCTAAACCAGGTCTAAACCAGGTCTAAACCAGGACTAAACCAGGTTCAAACCAAGTCTAAGTCAGGTCTAAACCAGGACTATTCCAGGTCTAAACCAGGACTATTTGAGGTCTAATCTAAGACTAAACCAGGTCTATAACAGGACTAAACCAGATCTAATCTAGAACTAAATCAGGACTAAACCAAGTCTAAACCAGGGACTAATCTAGAACTAAACCAGGACTACTCGAGGTCTAATCTAGGTCTAAACCAGGTCTATAACAGGACTTTGTGTCGTAGTTCTGGTATTTTCCCACGTCGGTCTGGGCAGAGTCCCGTTGCCGTGGCGACAGGTTCAACAGTTTTAAATGTTTGTGTTTCTTCGCTCGGTTCGTTCTTGATTCACGAAGAGTCGACAGAAATACGACGTCTGAATATTTTTAACACGTTTTCGCTCCATCTCGGTGTGATTTAAGGTTTTACGGTGTTTTCTCTCTGAACTCAGAGCGTCACGTAAAGATGAGAGTTTATTTTGAAAGGGCCTCACAGGAAACACATACGTCAGTTTTACAGTCACACAGTTTGGATTTAAAATCAGACAAAACTAATAAAACAAAAAAAACAAATAAAAGAAATAAAACAAACGGACAAAGGACGAACCGAGACTGGGAGGAGACAGGACGTCTTTAGTCTTGGTTTAGTCCTGGTTTAGTCCCTGGTTTAGACCTGGTTCAGTCCTGGTTTAGACCTGGTTTTAGTCCTAGTTTTAATCCTAGTTTAGTCCTGGTTTTAATCCTAGTTTAGTCCTGGTTTTAGTCCTGGTTTTAGTCCTGGTTTAGTCCCGGTCTTGTGGGGAGCAGATAGATGTTGTGATTGAAGTGTCTTGCTCAGAGACACATGGGCAGACAGGATTTGGACCAGGGACTCTGGACTGGACTGAAATATTTTAAATCCTTTTACAAAAACCAAGTCAAATTAAACATCAGAAATCTCACAAAACCTGAGATTCAAACACAAACGTTTATTTTGAATCCTCACTCCTGCAGGAGTGAGCAGAGCCACAGTCGCCCCGGGGCAGACGGGCGGGGGCGTGTCAGTCGCCCCGGGGCAGACGGGCGGGGGGCGTGTCAGTCGCCCGGGGCAGACGGGCGGGCGGTCGTCGCCGGGCGGGGGCGTCAGTCGCCGGGGCACGGGCGGGGGCGCGTCGCCCGGGGCAGACGGCGGGGGGCGTGTCAGGCAGACGGGCGGGGGGCGCGTCAGTCGCCCGGGGCAGACGGGCGGGGGCGCGTCAGTCGCCCGGGGGGGGCAGACGGGCGGGGGCGCGTCGCCCCGGGGCAGACGGGGCGTGTCAGTCGGCCCCGGGGCAGACGGGGCGTGTCAGTCGCCCGGGGCGGGGGCGTGTCAGTCGCCCCGGGGCAGACGGGCGGGGGGCGTGTCAGTCGCCCCGGGGCAGACGGGCGGGGGGCGTGTCAGTCGCCCCGGGGCGGCGGGGGCGGGGGGGCGTGTCAGTCGCCCCGGGGCAGACGGGCGGGGGGCGTGTCAGTCGCCCCGGGGCAGACGGGCGGGGGCGGGCGTGGCGCGTCAGTCGCCCGGGGCAGACGGGCGGGGGCGTGGCTGGTACCTGTTTGAATCGGGCCAGTTCTTTTAAGGCTCGTCCCCACTGCTGTTTATAATGAAGCTTCGACTTAGTGGTCGACTCCAACTTCCTCTCCAACTCCACCTGAAACACACAACACACACACACACACATACACACACATACACACACACACACACACACACACACACACACACACACACACAAGTTACACTTTTTCTGTAAGCCTCTGGTCTGGTCCGTGGTCCAGTCATTGATCTAGTCCTCAGTCTACACTCAGGTCTCTGGTCCTGGTCTCCAGTCCCGGTCGAGTCTCTGGTCTCGGGCGAGTCTCGGGTCCAGGTCCAGTACCTTCTCGAGCGTGAGCAGGTTGATCTCAGACTGGAGTCTGAACTCTGGTCTGATGTTCTGTTGTTCTCTGTACAGATGAAACTCTTTCTCCAGACTCTTGTATTTGGCCTCAGCGTCTGAAATCTGAAAACATCACACTTTATATCAGTAAATACAACACACGTCAAAAACACACACACACACACACACACACACACACACACACACAGACATGAGAGAGACATGTGAAAAGTTTCAGCTGAAACTGGACAAAGTTTTGATCTCCAGATCCTTCTAGAAAAGACGCTGCTCAACAAATAAACTTTGCTTTTCCAGACGCAAAAATAGAAATGTCTGAAAATACAAAAGTGCAATGACCAAGTCCAAACCCAGCACCTGTCTCTACAGCGCCCCCTGTGGTCACATGTACCTGCTGCAGTAGTGTCTCTAGCGCCCCCTGTGGTCACGTTTGTTCCTGTACCTGCTGCAGTAGTGTCTCTAGCGCCCCCTGTGGTCACGTTTGTTCCTGTACCTGCTGCAGTAGTGTCTCTAGCGCCCCCTGTGGTCACGTTTGTTCCTGTACGTGCTGCAGTAGTGTCTCTAGCGCCCCCTGTGGTCACGTTTGTTCCTGTACGTGCTGCAGTAGTGTCTCTAGCGCCCCCTGTGGTCACGTTTGTTCCTGTTCCTGTACGTGCTGCAGTAGTGTCTCTAGCGCCCCCTGTGGTCACGTTTGTTCCTGTACCTGCTGCAGGAGTCTCTTCCTCTCCTCCTCCAGCAGGCGGCTCTTGTCTCTCTCTAGCGCCACACGGTGGTCACAGTCGAGCTGCAGTCTGCGTCCGCTCTCCTTCAGCTCTGTGAGGGTGAGGGCGTGTTCAGCGCGGAGCTCCCTCTGCAGGCGCTCAGTCTGTACAGCAGGGGGCAGCAGAGAGAGAGAGAGAGAGAGGGGTTAACAGTGATATTTATGTGTGTTTAACGTGTGTTTACGTCTTTACACTCGTGAGCACAGAGAAACGTGACTCTGTGGAGTGTTATTCTCTCAGACCTGAATCTCGGCCTCCTTCAGGCGTTTCTCTCTCGTCTCTAGATCAGTCAGAGTTTTGTGGAGCTGCTCCTCCAGACGCTGGAACTCCTCCTCCTGAAACAAACACATGAAACTGTTTCACACACACAGAGCCGCCCAGAACACACACATGTGTACTGTACTCTGTGCAGGTGAGACTGTAGACACAGCCGCCCTGGGACAGACTGAGCCATCAGCCCCTCCCACCACCAACACTCACACACCAACACACACACAGGCAAAAAGGGTGAAGTGTGTTGCCCAAGGACACAAAAACAGCCCCACATCACACACACTTTAAGTCTGAATATGAAAGTGAAACATGTTTAGGGTGTGAGACCTTCTTCTGCAGCAGAGCCTCTCGCTCCTGGTCCCTCCTCCTCCACTCCTCCGCCAGAGCCTGCATGTGACTCTGCTCCTTCTGCTGCAACTACAACACAAAACACACACACAAAGACGCACAAACACAAAACACACACATGGACACACAAATACACAAACACAAAACACACACATGGACACACAAATACACAAAACACACACAAACACAAAACACACACATGGACACACAAATACACAAACACACACAAACACAACAAACACAAATACACACACAAACACAAACACAAAACACACACAAATACACACACAAACACAAAACACACACATGGACACACAAATACACAAACACACACAAACACAAAACACACACAAGAGAGACACAGAGACACAAAGTTATAACAGAGCTGGACTTGACCTGACTCCAGTTTGACCCTGGTCTAAGTCTACGGTTGATCGAAATCTGAGTCCAAGTTTGATCCCGGTCTGAGTCTAAGTTTGATCCCGGTCTGAGTCTAAGTTTGATCCCGGTCTGAGTCTAAGTTTGATCCCGGTCTGAGTCTAAGTTTGATCCCGGTCTGAGTCTAAGTTTGATCCCGGTCTGAGTCTAAGTTTGATCCCGGTCTGAGTCTAAGTTTGACCAGAGTCTGAGTCTAAGTTTGACCAGAGTCTGAGTCTAAGGCTGCGTTCAGACTGCAGCCTGAAGTGACCCAAATCCGATTTTTTGGCTTCTATGTTCCTGTATCCGATCTTTTAATGTCAGTCTGAACCACACAGATCCGATTTTTTCAAATGTGACCCAGGACACTTGGATATGTGCTCCTGAATCCGATACATATCTGATCTTTTGACATGTGACTTCAGTCTGAACGGCCAAAGCGCATCCATCCACCTACACGTCATTAACAAGCGACAAACGTCACTATTCTGCGCTGAAGCAGGCGGAAACCGCTACTGTAAAATCTCCAGGTGCTCAATGCTCGCGACCATATTTGGACAACTTCCGTAAACACAGAGCACGCTCGCTGCGGTTGACGCATGGGGTTGACGTCATCGTGTCTCCAGTGCACATGCGGGACACTTTCGGGCCGTCTGAAGTCACAGACAAGTCGCATTTAATTGGACATGTGAACGACCTCGCAAAAACATCGGATTTCACAAAAAAATCGGAATTGAGCATTAAGCCCTGCAGTCTGAACGTAGCTGAAGTTTGATCCAGTCTGTCCTTCTGCAGTACCACTTGAGTCCACAGGAGGGCGCCGTTACCTGGTGGTCAAACAGTTCTTCCTGCTGCTCCTTCCACATCTCCAGCTCCAGAGCAGCTCGGTACTCCAGGGTCTGTCTGGGAGGGACGAGGGGAGGGGGGGCAGGGAGCGGGGGCAGGAGCGGGGGCAGGGCGGGGACAGAGGTGGCGGTAGGGGGCGCTGTAGAGTCCGGGGCTGGGGGTTGGACTGGGGCTGGGTCGCTCTGGGAACAAGAGTAAAAACATTTGTGGTGATAATTATGAGCTCATTAAACTCCAGAGGACGACACGGAGCTGAAATAAAGACAAAACTGAGAAATAAAAACCCCAGGGTCATGGACAGCGGGGTCAAAGGTCAAAGGTCAGGCAGATCGAGCCGGATCACGCCCACAATCACTTCTTGTAGTAGTAGTAGTAGTAGTAGTTCTTCGTATGAGTAAATATACTTATAACCTGCGTGGACTCTGACTCGGTGTAGTAGTTTTATGTAGTATAACAACTAGTTTTAAGTCATAGTAATAGTTTTCTGTAGTAGTAGAAATAGTAGTACTTTTATGTAGTAAAAGTGTTATATAGTAGTTTTATGTAGTAGTAGTAGTTTTATGTAGTAGAAGTAGTACTTTTATGTAGTAGTACTTTTATGTAGTAGAAGTAGTACTTTTATGTAGTAGTAGTTTTATGTAGTAGAAGTAGTACTTTTATGTAGTAGTACTTTTATGTAATAGTTTTGTGTAGTAGTTTTATGTAGTAGTTAGTAGTAGTAGTAGTAGTAGTAGTAGTAGTAGTACTTTTATGTAGTAGTACTTTTATGTAGTAGTTTTGTGTAGTAGTTTTATGTATTAGTTTTATGTAGTAGTAGTAGTAGTTTAATGTAGTAGTAATGTTATGTAGTACTTTTATGTAGTAGTAGTTTTATGTAGTAGTTTTATGTAGTAGCAGTAGTAGTACTTTTTTGTAGAAGCAGGATTATGTAGCAGTAGTAGTAGTTTTATGTAGTAGCAGTAGTAGTACTTTTTTGTGGAAGTAGGATTATGTAGCAGTAGTAGTAGTAGTTTTATGTAGTAGTAATAATTTTTTGTAGTAATAGTAGTTTTATGTAGTAATAGTGTTATGTAGTAATAGTAGTAGTATGTAGTAGAAGTAGTAATTTTATGTAGCAGTAGTAGTGTTATGTAGTAATAGTAGTATGTAGTACGTAGTATGTAGTAGTAGTAGTAGTTGTATGTAGTAGTAGTACTAGTTTTATGTAGCAGTAGGTTTATGTAGTAGTAGTAGTAGTTTTGTGTAGTTGTAAATATGATCACTGTTGTTCTGACCGGAGTGGAGACGGACACGATGACCTGTGTGGCTCTGAGCAGACCCAGGTCGTAGTAGTAGTAGTTTTATATAGTTATAGTAGTAGTAGTAGTAGTAGTAGTAGTAGTAGTAGTAGTAGTAGCAGTAGTAGCAGTAGTAGTAGCAGTAGTAGTAGTAGTAGTAGTAGTAGTAGCAGTAGTAGTAGTAGCAGTAGTAGTAGTAGTAGTAGTAGTAGTAGTAGTAGTAGTAGTAGTAGTAGTAGCAGTAGTAGTAGTAGTAGTAGTAGTAGTAGTAGTAGCAGTAGTAGTAGTAGTAGTAGTAGTAGTAGTAGTAGTAGTAGTAGTAGTAGTAGTAGTAGTAGTAGTAGTAGTAGTAGTAGTAGTAGTAGCAGTAGTAGTAGTAGTAGTAGTAGTAGTAGCAGTAGTAGTAGTAGCAGTAGTAGTAGCAGTAGTAGTAGTAGTAGTAGTAGTAGCAGTAGTAGTAGCAGTAGTAGCAGTAGTAGTAGTCAGTAGTAGTAGTAGCAGTAGTAGTAGTAGTAGTACAGTAGCATCAGTAGTAGTAGTACAGTAGTAGTAGCAGTAGCAGTAGTAGTAGCAGTAGTAGTAGCAGTAGTAGTAGTAGTAGTAGTAGTAGTAGTAGTAGCAGTAGTAGTAGTAGTAGTAGTAGTAGTAGTAGTACAGTAGTAGTAGTAGCAGTAGTAGTAGTAGTAGCAGTAGTAGTAGCACAGTAGTAGACAGCAGTAGTAGTAGTAGCAGTAGTCCAGTAGTAGCAGTAGTAGCAGTAGCAGTAGCAGTAGTAGTAGCAGTCAGCAGTAGTAGGCAGTAGTAGTAGTAGTAGTAGTAGCAGTAGTAGTAGCAGTAGTAGTAGTAGCAGTAGCAGCAGTAGTAGCAGTCTTCAGTAGCCTAGTAGGGGTAGTAGTAGTACAGCAGGTCAGACAGTAGTCAGTAACAGTAGTAGCATTTAAATATTTCACTTTCCCTGATCAAACGCGTCGCACCTGTCGACGCGCAGGAAGGGCACCCTGTCCCGGTGCGTCTGCCTCCAGCCCCGCTCCCCCGACGACGACGACCTCTGACCTTTGACCCGGGGCGACCTGAGCAGGTGAGACAGCTGCAGCGAGGCTCGGCCAATCAGCTCGTCCCGTGAGCTGAGGGGGCGGTGCCACAGCTCCACCACCAGCGGCGTTCTGACGGCACACGGCGAGGACGGGAATTAACGGGGGAAATACTTTCACAAAACATTTTACAAACTAAGAATTAAAATGTTTTTACTGTTATTTATTTATTTTTACAATATTGTACATTTAGAATCGTTTTGGGGATAAATGTTCGCTCTTTTGAATTTCAATTAAGAACGAAAAACAATAAAATGGGAAAACAGTTTCTTATTTCATTTTTCTGTTTAAGTGTCAAACAAAAAAACAGATTTCAACCTCAATTTCCAATATTTAATTTAAAGTTTATTTCAAATAACATAAAAAAACTGTCTCGGTGACTTTTTTAATTTTGATATTTTATTCTCTGGTTTAAAATAAACTATAATAAACAGATTTTTTTTTGTTCTATGTGTCGACTGAACAAAGGAGAGTTTATCAGTGTTTCCTGTTTCTCATCGTGGATCAATAACGACTTTCTAAGACGTGAAAATAAAAACGCGTCGCTGTAAAAGAAGAAACATGTTTGTCAACGAAACTGCAACGATTTTTCAGGTGAGTTCTTCAGCAGCAGAACTTTAAATAAACCATCGGAAATCAAATATCAACATTAAAATGGACACGAGACTGTAATAAAAAGGAAAAATCAAATAAACTGTTTTCCCATTTTATTGTTTTCGTTCTGAATTGAAATTCAAAAGAACAAATGGCACACGAACCCATTTCCAATATTTAATTTAAAGTTTATTTCAAATAACATCAAAAAACAGTCTGTGTTTATTTTAATGTTGATATTTTATTCTCTCTGGTTTATTTGAAGTTTTGCTGCTGAAGGACGAACCTGAAAAATCGTTGCAGTTTCGTGGACAAACATGTTTCTTCTTTTACAGTGACGCGTTTTTATTTTCACGTTTTAGAAAGTCACTGTTGATCCACGACAAAAAAGAAACGGGAAGCAGCGAGAAACTCTTTGTTCAGTTGACTCCACAGAACTAGAATAAAATCAGAGCAGCAGAACTTCCGCGGTAAATAAACCAAAAAAAGAATAAAATATCAAAATTAAAATACTGTTTTTTGATTGGTTTGATGTGACTGATTTATTTGACATAAAGTTTAAATTAAATATCGGAAATAGAAGTTAAAATCAGTTTTTTTGTTTGACACTAAAAAGGAAAAATGAAATAAAGTGTTTTCCCATTTTATTGTTTTCGTTCTGAATTAAAATTCAAAAGAACAAATGGCACACGAACCTATTTCCAATATTCAATTTAAAGTTTATTACAAATAACATCAAAAAACAGTCTGTGTTTATTTTAATGTTGATATTTTATTCTCTCTGGTTTATTTGAAGTTTTGCTGCTGATTGTTAATTGCTAATTGTTTATCTCAGTCATTAAATCACACCTCAAACTGTTAAAGGCCTTTGTGTGTTTGTGTGTTGGTTTTGTTGTGTGTAAAAGCTGCAGACTTTGTAGTTCAGACTCTATAAACACTATGTGACGTGAGTGTGCAGCGCCCTCTGCTGGACACAGGAGGGTACGACACTCAGGCCTGACGCTGATTCGTCCAAAAGGAGAAAACTGTGAATAATAAAACGTCTTTAAAAGAGTCGTACTGGTTAAAGGCGACGTGCAGCTGCTGGGGAAGAGCAGCGAAGTCGAACGCGCAGAAAGACTGAGGCACCAGCGCCTCCGTGTGTCTGTTCAGAGTCACTACAGGCGTCATCACAGGAG